TAATAAGTTGCTTTTCATACAGACATACCTGTTTGTATGAAAGGTAGTTGAGAGACTGATTCTTGGACACCCTAGTTTTAATCTAGAATCTTAAATTTTCAAGCTGACAGTTCTCAGTGAGCAAATGTACATGTATGCTTTGTTTCTAAAGTTCTACTAAGATGAATTTAAGGCTTAATATCTCTATGCTGTTCACTATGTATCAATTCCATACACTGGAGTCTTAAATCCTAAGCAGTTGAGTATATATAAGTAGTGGTTCAATGGACATTTGATAAATCAATTGAATTTGAATTGTTATATTTTATAAACATGCTCTTTAGTAAAACAAAAAACTTGCACTTTAAATGAAACAAATTTAAATAGTTCTTAGAGAATCTAATTTTCTCATTATCTGATCTACTTAAGGTTCAAGTCCAACAGCATAATTCATTTTGAATATGTTCTCACAGACTTACATGTAAAAGTCAACAGATAAGATCCTTGCCACTTGTGTGAAGTGGCTGTTGAACCATGAAATAAACTATTTTTATTGCCATTGCCCCGTGGAGATGTTCTTTCTGGCAGTGCTGTCCATATTTGGTGGCTCTGCATGGAGAGCCAGGTGGTGCTGAAAAGCATCGCACAGTGAAGCGTGGATAGATCTAGGTCCGACATTTGTCATCCCTTACTGCTGAAGGGAAGGGTGAAATCTGTTTTTCCATATGTTTAAGCTTTTTTTTTTTGCCTGCAGATTTGTCCAGATGGTCTTATGAACATTGTTTACTTTAGGATGATATCCCAGATGTTTTGAAAACTGATGGATAAATGTGGTACACAGATACACAAGTCATTTGCATGTTATGGTTAAAAAATACTATTCGTTCTTATAAGATTAAAATATAATTTGTTTCTGGAAGTATTTTCCCAAGTGAAAATAAATGTATTTTATATGTATGTAATATATTTATATGTAGTTGATAAATATAATCTATGGTTTAGTTCCCCCAGTCACTGTTTTCATGTTAATAAGCTAAAGAAATTATAGCGCCCTGGCCGGTTTGGCTCAGTGGTTAGAGCGTCGGCCTGTGGTCCTGAGAGACCCGGGTTCGGTTCCCGCTAAGGGCGCGTACCTCGGTTGCAGTTTGTCCCCGGCCCTGGTTGGGTCGTGCGGGTGGCAGCCACTCGATGTGTCCCTTTCACATCGATGTTTCTCTCTCTCTCTCTGTTCCTCTCTCTCCCTCCCACTCTACCTGAACAAAAAAAAATGGAAAAATGTCCTCAGGTGAGGATAAAAAAAAATAAAAAATAATAATTAAAAAAAAAAAAGATTTTAAGAAATTATAGCAATATTTATTGAGAATGTTAACAAAAGAAAATACTTTTGAAGAGTCATATTTGTTCAGGGTTGCATAGACCTAAATTTGTAAGAATGTTGCCCTGCTATCTCCTCATTATAATTCTCCTCATTGTACATAAATCACTGAAGAGAAATTAGGTGGTAAAATGACAATGGGTTTATAATTAAAAAGTTATCATTATGACTGTGGGAAAATCACTTAACCTCTTGAAGCCTGAGTTTTGTAAATGTAAAGTCAGAGTAACAGCCTTGTGCCAGGAAATGGAGTAATGCGTGGATTTGATGACTCTTTCATCGTAAATCTCTCACAAATCACTATGAAACCATCCAGTGGCAATGGCTATAGTGAGGGCCTGAAACCTCCTGATTCCAGCCTCCAGAGAGAGACCTTGTCCATTAGTTGTACTAGCCTTTGCCGCTAAGCTTGAGTATGGGGTTTAATTCTTATTACTTATTGTATTCTCTGAAAGACAGGAGAAGAGAGCTTTCTTGTTAACCCAGCTTTCTTCACTGGGTTAACTTGGAATTCTAGGGTTGGGAGTTAAAAACAACTCTTCATTATATGGACAACAGACATCCAGTAACCACCAGTAATGTTAAAGAATAAGCAAAGAGAAATAAAGGGGCAAAGCAGGTAATAGGGTTTATGAAAAAATATTGCAGCATAGGATAAGAGAAAAGTTAAGACTTGAATGAAAAATATTTTCCATGCACTCAATTTGCTTAGAAACATCTTAGAAACCACCAATTCATTTTTGTCTATATTTCCACATGTTAAAAAGAAAAGCAAGAAATTATGAAAACCACAAAGTCAATATAAAAGGCAAAACTCATTTTAACAATTCATAAAATCCAATTAGAAACAAGAGATAAAACTTGAGAAAAACCTCAGAAAGTACAGGAAATGGTTAAAGAGAAGAAGAAAAGTGAGAGCAGATAAGCACTGGACACGAAGGATTGCTCATAGAGATATGGATTCTGGCACAAATAACAATTTTTGGTGGCCTTTACACACATAGTGCTTACCATGTCAGGTACTTTGCAAATAGCTCATTTAATCTTTATGAAAAGTCCAAGAAAACGTGTTAATGATCTCAATTGATACTGGAGCCCCATCTCTAGATGCCTTTCTTTGGGGGTGGGGATAGGGCAAAAGTCAAAGATGCCAAGTCAATCTTTGTTTGAACCAACAGTATGTGTATGACATCAGTCTGCCAGTATCCAAGACTAAAGTTTCTCTCTCTCTTTTTTTTTAATCCTCACCTGAGGACTTTTTTTTTTTGGTTCAGATAGAGTGGGAGGGAGAGAGAGAAACATCAACGTGAAAGGGACACATCGAGTGGTTGCCATCCGTACGATCCAACCAGGGCCGGGGACAAACTGCAACCGAGGTACATGCCCTTAGAGGGAACCGAACCCGAGTCTCTCCAGACCGCAGGCCGACACTCTAATCGCTGAGCCAAACCGGCCAGGGCTAAAGTTTCTTTTTATGGTGGTTTCTTGCTCCTGTCCTGGGAATAGGGCCACCTCCACCCCTGTTCATGGCAGACTACAAGTTTATAAGTCTACTGTATTTTTTGTTTAATCTTGTAGGTTTTCATTGATATTGAATTTTTATTATGTATGTTCTCCCCAACATCACACCCCTAAGGAAGAAGGAACAGTCATAGAGACATTCCTGATCTCCATTAATCTGATTGGAGGGGCAAACAGACAAACATTTATTAATTTTTAAAAAAAGTTTTTATTTATTTTTTTAGAGAGAGAGAGAGAAACATCAGTCAGCTGCCTCCTGCACACTCCTCACTGGGGATCGAGCCCGCAACCCGGGCCTGAGCCCTGACCAGGAATCAAACCAGGAGCTCTCAGTCCATTGGAGACGCCTAATCCACTGAGCCACACTGGCCAAGCAAACATTTAAAAGTTCATTAGCAATGCAAGGCAGCATGTCAGTATTAGATGACTAAAATATGTAATTGTTGAGAACTACAAAATCTGAGGTTGAAAGGAATTTAAAAGAACATTCGGTTAAAACCAAAAGATTTGAGAACTTGGGTATTTCCTGTCAAAATAATAATGATTCAGAAAGTCATATGCTGTTAAATAGTTCTAATTAATTGTGTTAGTTCATAAATGTTATGATTTTGTTAGTTTTTAACTTTTTTGACAATAGTCATAGAAGAGTTGTAAGAATAATACAAAAAATGGTGATTTTTATAATTTCATCATTTATTTATTAGTTGGCATTCTCTTATAAGGAAGAGTTTTCTCCCTTTTATTCCTATTTTAAAATTTATTATTATTTCAGAATCACTTTCATTTTGTTCAGTGAATGATAATTTATTCATGCCCTTCTTTATTTTATTTTTTAAATCCTCACCTGAGGATATTAATCCATTTTATCTTCAGATAGAGTGGGAGGGAGAGAAAGAGAAAGAAAAAACATCAACGTGAGAGAGACACGTCGATTGTCTGCCTCCCCCATGACCCCTACCAGGTCCAGGGACCTAACCGCAACTAAGGTACATGCTCTTGACAGGAACCGAACCCGTGACTCTTTGGTCCTCCGGCCCACACTAACCACTGAGCCACACCAGCCAGGGCCCTTCTTTATTTTGATACTCAAATTGCCCCACATTGGACCAGTGGGAACCTATTGAAAATGGCACCTGTGTATTTGGACATACTCATCACTTTTATTTTTTAGCACTTATTTTCTGGCACAACACTAATGTTCTAGGCTCATTTTGCCTCTTTGCTGCTCCAGGTTAAGAATTAGCCTTGCCCTGGCCAGTGTCGCTTAGTGGTAGAGCAACAGCTGGCGGACCAATGAGTCGTGGGTTTGATTCTGGTCAAGGGCACATGGGTTTTGGTTCGGTTGCGGTTCGTCCCTGGCCCTGGTCGGGGTAGGGCCCTATGGGAGGCAACCAGGTGATGTGTCCCTCTCATGTTGATGTTTCTCTCTCTCTCGCCCCTTCTTTCTCTCCCTCTCTCTCCTTCCCACTTTTTCTGAAGAGAAATAGAAAAATATCCTCAGGTGAGGATTTAAAAAAAAAAGTGAAAAAAAAAAAAGAATTAGCCTTTTTGTCTGGCTGATGTGGCTCAGAGGCTGCGCATCGACCCAAGAGGTTGCCAGTTCGATTCTCAGTCAGGGCACATGCCCACAAAGTGGACCTGATTCCCAGTGGGGGGCATATAGGAGGTGGCCGATTGATGTTCTCTCTCATCTATGTTTCTATCTCTCCCTCTCATTTCCTCTCTCTCAAATCAATAAAGGGAAAAAAATTTTTTTTAAAGAATTAGCCTTTCTTTAAGGGGTCTACATTCCTTTAAGTAGGGAATGGTATTTAGAAACCAAGATCTGAGTCTTTTATACTTGATTTTTACCTTACTCTTTTGTATTTAATGTTTTATTCATCTGGAATTTATCCTGCAATGTAGTGTGAGGTACAGATGTGTAAATTAAAGTGAATTAAAATTAATTGCTTTAGCAGTAAGATACAAAACTCAAGACATTTATTTGCATTTGTGTTCCTGGCTTCAGGGATACTGATTCAAGGGAAGCATGTTATTTGATTTCAAATAATACTGTATTTAAATGATGTCAAATGATATATATTTAATTTTACATTTCACGTCAGTTATGTTTTCTCTAACTTAGGTGCATTTTCCAAAATTATAAAACTTTGTGAAGAAAAATGTGAAACAAAGAAGGAAAGAAAAGGCAGTCGTGTAACATCTGTGAAAGGAATTACAAATCTAGGAAACACGTGCTTTTTCAATGCAGTTATGCAGGTAAGAAAGCTTTGTAAATTATAAAAGATAATTTTAATTAATTTATATTTTTTGCACTCCTGTAGGCTGTCAAATGACTGCTAATGTTCAACTAGAAATTTTTGTTTTCTTTTTGTTTTGTTTTAGGCCATCTTTAGCCATTATCATACACATACATAAACCTTGTTTTTCCACAGTGCTCCTTAAATGTCTTCTCTGTATTTTACCATGGCTCTATCAGTAACAGTGACATTTATTAAATATAAAATCTATTCAATTAAAATTTTTTAACTTAAAAAAAAACTTTTTGCTATGCTAGATGAAAGTTGAAACTTTGAGAGAGTAATTTATTCCATAAAATCAGAGGCATGGTATACCTGAATCAGAAGACTTTACTTTTGTTTTTTTTTAGAACTTGGCACAGTCTTACATCCTCACTGAACTGATGAATGAGATCAAAGAAAATGGTACAAAACTCAAGATTTTTCCTTCATCAGACTCTCAGCTGGTAAGAAATGAAACCATCTGGGTAAGGGCTCTTTTGAGATGAACCACTGATGTTGCTGAAGTTTGTCCTCCTTGTTTATTAAACTAAGAATTCATACAGAGAAGTGCACATCATAATAGTACAGATGATGGGTTTTCACAAAGTAAACACACTATACTGAAACTAACCAACCTTTTGCTTAGAAGCAGAGCACTACCAGCAGTGGAAGCCCTTCAGGTGGCGTTCCATTCACTCCCTCCCTACCGGATAAGGGTAGCCCCCAACCTGGTTGCTAACAAGACAGATTAGTTTTGCCTGCTTTAATATTATATATAAATGAAATCATATACTATATACTGTTTTGCACTTGACTTCTTCTTGTCAACATGTTTGTGAGATTCATCATTGCATCATTGCATTCTCATCAGCAGATTTACTTTTGTTTTCACAGTTAAAGTATACTTTTAGAAACTAAGGTTATTACTTTATTCTGAAGATTTTTTACTTTGTCTAAAAATGCTTTATTAGGGAGTGGGTGATACTACACCTTAATGCTTGGGCTTTGGAACTGCCTCAGATTTTACTTTTGACCTTAGAGGGAACCTGCAATATACTCAACATGGCAGAAAGCACTTTTGATATTCAAAAGCTAGGGAAAATTATAACCTGTTTTTTCTATGGTTTTAGCCAGATGGTGGGTTTTTAAAGGATAGTTGATATGAAATATATATGTAACATGTATTTCATGAATACATGAGTGAGACAACATATCTGATGGTTGTCCTAGAGGATGACATAGTATAATGTTCGAGTATTATATTTGGGACCTGCTTTTTATTCATTGTGTATAAGGAAGGGGTTACTGGTGAAAATAACATTTTATAAAACAAAACTTGGTGGGGAAAAAAATCTAGAATAAAGTGCATTGATCCTTCACACAATTTAAGTTACTCTTATCTACCTTTTTGTTTCTTCCCTTTAAAAGAGAGAGACGGTGTACCTATTTGGTGATATAATTTCCCATTCCTATTTAAGAGTAAAATATTTGGGGAAAAGAAGGGTATGGAGTTTTGCTAATATAATTTATGATTATTTGTGAAGATGTACAAATATCAAGTAGATGAATAATTTTACTTCTAGGAGAGCACTTTAAGGGACAGTTACAAGCAACTAAAAATCGGTGATGTCATTCTGAAGTTAACAGTTTTATTAAGTAAAGGGTAGACGATATGAGAATACCTGTGTTTTTCAAGATAAGGCATTTAATTCCATTTTCATTTTAATATATTTTATATATGAGGGAATAAAGTTTCTTAATACAGTTGAGGTAATTTAGTTGTCATTTAAAGTAGAACTGTTTGATTTTACATACTGTATTCTATATTTCTGACATAGAATTGATAATGTTTTTAAAGGATCCATTAATGGTGGAACTTTCAAGCCCTGGACCATTGACCTCAGCCTTGATCCTGTTTCTTCACAGCATGAAGGAAACTGAACAAGAATCGCTTTCTCCTAAAGCTCTCTTCAGTCAGCTTTGTCAGAAGTGGGTGCACCTACATTCTTTTTTTTCCTCTTAATTTTTTTAGAGAGAGGAAGGGAGAGGGAGAGAGAGATAGAAACATAGATGAGAGAAAACATCAATTGGCCGCCTCCTGCATGTCCCCCACTGCGGATTTGGCCCACAACCTGGGCATGTGCCCTGACCAGGAATTGAACCAGTGACTCATGGTGCATGGGTCAGTGCTCAACCACTGAGCCACATTGGCCGGGCTGCACCTACATTCTTAATATTAATAATCATGAGTTACGAAATGCTATTGTGCTTATACTTAATATGAGTATTTTCAACCTTACTGCGACATTGCTGTTATTGCCTAGACTATCAAGAGAAAGAATTAACATTGTTTAGTTGCAGCTCTGTATTATGTTATTTCATAATTTATGGAAATTATATCTCATAATACTCTGAAGAAATGATTATTTATCCCCATTTTATATGTAAGGAAACTGAGACTCATAGTTGAGTTGTTTACCTCGTTTCATAGTGACAAAGCCAGGATTCAAATAGAGGTCTGTTCTATCTCAGAAGCCCATGATGCAACATGACAAAGTATAAAAACTATAGAATTGTAAAATCTAAAAGGTGCTATACTAGATCATCTAATCTAGTTTCTTTATTTTAAAAGATGAGCTTTGAGGCAAATAGAGTTTAAGTGAATTTCTCAAGATACTACAGTATGTTTAAAAATAAAATCTTTGAGTGCCTGGATATAAATAAATAAAACCCATACCATAAAAGTCCAGACTTAACTTTAATATATTTATTTATTCCTTCATCTAGAAAATTGAGAATTTACTTTGTTGTCAGTACTTACTAGAATTCAGGTACACAGGGTATAATGTAGTAAAAATGGACCTTTTCATGGAACTTATAAACTAGTCCAGTCCACCATTAACTAAAATATGTAGAAACAAAATTCTTTAAATATGAAGTTGCATTTTTGTATATCTGCAATCTTTAAAATTTCATGTTAATTTAAGTTTATCTGTGCCATGGTATTGTATTGTGTGTTTGTGTGTGTGTGTGTGTGTGTGTGTGTGTGTGTTTTAATGTTTTATATGTTTTTGGTGATGTTTTAGAGAGGAAGGGAGAGAGAGAGAAACATCAATGTGAGAGAAACATCGATTGGCTGCCTCCTGCACGCCCCCTACTGGGGATCCAGCTGCAACCCAAGCATATGCCCTAACCCGGAATCGAACCCGGAGCTCTCAATCTATGGGATGACATTCAATCCACTGAGCCATACCCCCCGGGCTGTATTGTGTTTTATTATATTTTATCTCATAGTATTGTACCAATGTTAATTTATTTAAAAAATTTATTGTGGAAAGAATACAACACGAAATCTACCCTCTTAAAATTTTTTTGTATGTAATATATTGTTGGCTGTAGGTACAATGTTGTACAGCAGATCTCTAGAGCTTATTCATCTTGTTTGACTGAAACTTTTTGGCCATTGGTTAGGAACTCTTCATTTCTGCCTCACACCAGCCCCTCACAACCCCCATTCCACTCTTTGATTCTATGAATTTGATTAGTTTAGATTCCTCATATAAAGGGAATTATGGATTATTTGTCTTTCTTTGACTGGCTTATTTCACTTAGCATAATGTGACATCAAATTAAATGTAATCCAAAATATAGAGGGTATATTTTATGTTTCATTTACTTGGCAAATGCTGTTTTTTCAAAGCCTGAAGAACAACAACAAAATGAAAAGTCTCTGAGACATAAAGTTAAGAAAGTTTTAGGATATTATGCGCTTTAGAAATTTGTTTTAGCCTCTATCCAAAATAACTTTGCTTTGTATCATTTTTTTCTGGTTTTATAAAGATTTATAAATGTTTAATAAATTCTTAAAGTAATAGATGCTCAGATAAAAATTCAAATTAGTATTATTTTATTTTAAATATGTTTTTATTGATTTTTTTTTTTTTAAAGAATAAAGGAGAGGATAGAGAGAGAAACATTGATCAGCTGCCTCCTGTATGCCCCTACCAAGGATCAAGCCTGAAACTTGGGCATGTGCCCTGACTGGGAATCAACCAGTGACCTCTTGGTGCATGGGACGACACTCAACTGAGCCATACTGGCCAGGGCTGTTTTTTTATTTTTAAAAGTGATTATGCATATACAGACATATAAAAATTGTCTGTAACTTGCTTGTTTTGCTTACTATGTTTTATACATCTTCCCATATAGTATATGTGGATATAACATTTATTTTACATATATATATATGTGTGTGTGTATATATATATATATTTATTCAGGGTGGGGCTCAAGAGTAGGTTTACAGTTGTGAGTACATGAAACAGTTTACTCTTGTATTATTATTTATTAACTATTGTATTTTTCCATGTGAACAACTTGAAACCTATTTTTGCCCACCCTGTGTGTGCCATTGTGTCTATATACATATCACTGTACTTGTGAGAGTTCATCTGTAGGACAAACATTTGGAAAACATTTAAAAATTGAATTTCTTGTGCTTTATTGTGTTTACTTTAAAAAGAGTTATATATTTAGGGCTGGCTTTTAGCTCAGCGGTTTCTTTGAGTCAAGCTTGCAGCTTGCTAACCACTCATGCTTTTGAGGGTGGTTTGAAACCCGTGGGTCTGTCCAGCCCTCTGAGGGGGGAAAAAAGTTACATATTTAAAAAGAGTTATGTATTTTTTTAAAAGTTATATATTAAGAAAAGTGATTTTTTTAAAAATCAGGTGATGATTTGAGTCAGATATGTTGGATCTATTATTGGACTCAGTTCTGTTACATTGATCTATCGCTACCCCAGTACTGCGCTGTCTTGATTACTGTAGTAAGTCTTAGAATTGGATAGTGTGAGTCCTTGAGCTTTCTTCTTCTTCTTCTTTTTTAAATAACTATTCTAGGTCCTTTGCTTTCTCGTATGAATTTTAGACTTAGTTTCTCAATTGGAATCGCATTGAATGGGTTTTGGAGACAATTGACATCTTAATGTTGAGTCTTCCATTGCAAGATTATGACATATCTTTTCATTTATTTAGGTTTTTGCTTTTACTCATCAAAAAGTGATGTGGTTAGATTTACCTTAAGTATATTCTGTGGTGTGTCATGTACCTTATGGAGTGCCACTAAATTCTCAAGGTAGAATGCAATGTGGTCTACTGTAGTATTTGGGTATGCTCTTCAGTCTTATTTTTTAATTTACTAATTCACCCTTCAACTGTGTAGTTTAATATTTATCCTATCTCTTGTATTTTTACATTTGTGGTTTTATTGTCCTATTTCTAATATGTTTAGTTGGCTATCTTATTAATATCTACATGTTATTTAATTTTCTCCAACTTTTCTTAATTTCCAGGCTTTTAATGGCATTTATGCCTGTATATTTTTGGACATTTTCAACATATTTATTATAACATTTTTGGAACAGTTCTATAACATTTATTTGGAGTGAAGTAAATTCATTTCAGTTCATTTTTTTTAACATTAGATTTCTCTGTGTGTTTGACAGAATTGCTTTGCAGGCTCCTTTGGAGTAGATTTCTTTGTTTATAGTCCTCAGCTATCTTTGCCCAACTTGCTATCCCCATTTTCTCTACCCCTCCTTGTTTTCCTACCACTCCCATCACCTCTCCTTCCTCATACCCGCTCCGCACTGCCTAAAAATTTAAAATTTTAAGACAGCCTCATCCTGCCCTGGCCAGTTTGCTCAGTGGCCAAGAGTCACAGGTTTGATGCCCATTCAAGGGCATGTACCTGGGTTGCAGGTTCAATCCCCAGCCCCAGGTGGGGTCATGCGGTAGGCAACCAATGGATGTGTCTCTCACATCCATGTTTTTTTTCTGTCATTCTCCCTCTCTGTCCATTCCTCCCTCCCACTCTATCTAAAAATCAATGGAAAAAATATCCTTGAGTGAGGGTTAAAAAAAAGAAAAAAGAAAAGATGGTCCTTAGAGATCCAGGTCTTTTAAAAAAAATTTTTTTTTCTTTATTGATTTGAGAAAGAGAGAGAGAGAGAGAGAGAGAAACATTGATAAGAGAGAATATTGATTGGCTGCCTCCTGCCAATTCCCACTGAGGATTTGGCCCACAACCTAGGCATGTACCCTGACCAAGGATCGAACCAGCAAACTCTTGGTGCATGGGTTGAAGCTCAACCACTGAGCCACACTGGCCAGGCGAGATCCAGGTCTCTTAGTGGTTCATAGTAACCGTGTTTTGGGGGATGTGAGAAGAGGGTGGAAGGCTTGGCTCAACTTCAGGTCCCTAGGCTGTGTTCTGTTGTAGCCTTAGGCACCATTTGTCTGAAGGTTCCTTTTGTGGCCCTTGGGAAGATCAGCTGTCCTTATGTAGTGAGCCTGACTCTGCTCCCTGTCTCAGGTGAGTACATTTAGTTTTCTTTACCCTTCAGGGCTGACTTTTCAGGCCCAGAGCCCATCAAGTCTATTATGATTTTTGTCTACCTTTTTTGAGTTCTATTTTTGCTCTGTAGGTGGCTTTTTTTTTTTTTTTAATTGAATTCCACTCAAGACCTCTTTTGTTTTCTCTTTTTTAATGTTATTCTTTGAGTAGAGGGAGTTTCTGGATTATGAATGGACTGATTCACCTTCACCCAGAGGAGAATTTCTTTTTCTTGACAGTCTATTCCTGTTTTATGAGTATGCGTACATTTTTCTCTTACAATGCGAGGTTTTTAAAAGTTCCCTTATATTCCTCACTTTTACTAAGGTACATTTCCTATGGCCGTAGTGTTTCCCTTATTTTGATAGGGTGAATCTTTTCATATATTTGATGGTTTTTCTTTTTTTATCCTTTAAGCTTTTTTTTTTAAAGGTTTTTTAAATTGATTTTTATTTTTTAAATATGTTTTTATTGACTTCAGAGAGAAGGGAAAGGAGAGGGAGAGAGAAATAGAGAAGTATCAGTCAGCTGCCTCCTGCACCCCCTAGCCTCCCCCCCTCCATCCTTGCACTGGGGATGGAGCCTGCCCTGACTGGGCTTCTGGTCCATGGGACATGTCCAGCCAGCCGAGCCACACCAGCCAGGGCTATCCTTTCAGCGTGAAGGTCTCTTTTGGTATCGGTAGTTCAGATAGATTTTATCAGAGATTCTGTAAGTCATTATATGATTTTTTTCCCCATTCTAGGTAAAGGAGGAAAGAGAAAAAAACAAAACCCCAGGCATATTAAATGTTCTTCAATGGTTTGGAAGGCAGTAAGTGCTTTGTGCCTGCTTGAGATGGAACTATAGGCAGAGTCACGGTGGGGACAGCTTCTCCTTTGTTCAGGACTGATTGTCTTCCTGTGTGTCTGTTATGAAAGTCGTAACTGTCTCCGTCTCCTGCCACCTGGCTGGTGAGGTTCTCTTAAGGATTCCTCTGCTCCCCCCTCCAGCCTTCTTCCACTCCACTGACCTTTCCTGATACCTGCAGCACAAGGGTTGTGCTGTGCAATTTCTACCTTTCATGAATTCCAGCTGTGGAGGCCCAACCAGGGTTTGAAAATGTGTCTATCTTGGTTTCTGTCCTCATCTCTGATCTAGGAGGTGGACACTATCTACCACATGCAGAAGGGGAAGCCTATCGGGAGTAAATGAAAGTTCTTAACATCATGGTGCTGTTTGCTGCTTCTTAGCAAGACTGAGTAGTAGTAACTGAAATGGTGGTTCCTGTTGCAGGCTGGAGTCACTAGTAGTCAGACAGCTTTGTAGCAGCAGGGCCTCACATTAGTGCATTGCTGGGATGAATGTTTATCATGAGATAATGAGGAATAATGCTTAAAGCACTGAACTCAAGAGTCAGAAGACCTGATTTATGTCATTGGCACTCAGCTTGTTCTTCAGTTATCTCAAGTGTAAAATGAAGCTCATATTAATTATGAATTCCTTAACAGCACTGTTATGTATAACAAATGAGGTATGTTGTGTACGATACTATAATGAGACCGTTGTAAACTTGTCTTGTACTACATAAGATATTCTTAGTATTTTGTGTTATTTTGACAAAAGATTTTCTTCATCTTAGATCAGAGATCTTTCTAAATTTAGAACAAAAATGTTCATTTAGCATCAGAGTTTTTCCAGGAATATTACTTTTTAAAATTACTGAAATCAATGAAATTTGTTGTGTTGATGTCTCTATGAATAGAACCTGATTTTTAAAAAATTAATACAGAGAAAATCTAACTGTCAGATCCTCAAAATAAATACATTCGCAGAGACATCAGTTCATAATTCTTTATTTTAATCATTTGCTTTTCTTTTGGTTATTTAAGGTAGGAAGATAATAGAGAACAGTGGCTTGGATTTGAATACTGTTGTTTTTTTTAAATCCTCACCTAAGGACATTTTTGCACTTATCTTCAGATAGAGCAGGAGGGAGGGAGTGAGGAAGAGAGAGAGAGAGAGACACATCAACTGGTTGCCACCCACACAACCCCAATTGGGGCTGGGGACAAACTACAACTGAGGTTCGTGCTCTTAGCAGGAACCGAACCCGAGACTCTGGTCCACGGGCAACGCTTTAACAGTTGTGCCAAACCCGGCCAGGGCTGAATATTATTTTTTGCTTGCTGGGTGACCTTGCAAATTATTTAAATAATCCCTCTGAGACCTCATATAGATTTTTAATTTTTATTTAGTTATTTTTATCCTCACCAGAGGACATTTTTGCATTTTTATCTTCAGATAGAGTGGGAGGGAGAGAGAGAGAGAGAAACTTTGATGTGAGAGAGATACATCGACTGGTTGCCACCTGCACAACCCCAGCCGGGGCCGGGAATGAACCACAACCAAGGTATGTGCCCTTAGCAGTAGCCGAAGCCGGGACTCTCTGGTCTGTGGGCCAACACTTTAACCACTGAGCAAAACCGGCCAGGGCTGAGACCTCATATGTAAACTGGAGAAAATGGACATTTCAAGCTTGTTTGAGGATTATGTGACTTTTGCATTATATGTGGTTGGCATGTAGTAGTTACCTAATAAATGATAGCCATATTGTTCTTAGTACACTTAAGATCTCTTCCTAATTAGAACAGTCATCACATTTTGTCTTTTGACTTAGTTCAAGAAGAAATAAATTGAATCTTTGACTCTATGGTATTACAAAGTAATTTTAAATATTTAGTAATGTATTGTTGATGAAACGATCATCCTTTTTTTCTTTCCTGTTTTGTTTTTAAATCATAGGGCCCCTCGATTTAAAAGTTTTCAGCAACAGGACAGTCAGGAGCTTCTGCATTATCTGCTGGATGCAGTGAGGACAGAAGAAACAAAGGTCAGGTTTCTTTATGTTTATCACATAAACTCTTTAAGAAGAGTAACAAAACTGAAGGAATTCATTTATGCCGTAATTTTAATGTGCAGTTAAGAAGTTAACTTGATTTTTTCCCTAACTATTCTGTTTATTCTCTCTCTCTCCCTCTCTTTGACTTTTCTATAAAATTATTTTCTTTCACTCTCTCACAACTCCTATTATCCTTTATTAGTTAATGCCCTTTGGCTATAAATAACAGAAAACAATTCACACTAGCCTAAATAAAGAAAAATATCTAATTCTCCAGATGAAGGAGATTATAGCTAGGAATGCAGGGACAGGAAGGTTCTCTGAAATCCAGAAAGTATTCTTATTTTCCTACTTTTTGTGGGTCTGTAGGTTTTCTTCATTCATCTCTCTGCAGACTGAGTAGTTTCTCTGCTTCTCTGTCTGAGTAGTAGCACATGATCACTGTAGAGTTTGCATGTTGCAATTCTACATGCATAAAAACAAAACTGGCTGTTTATAAATCTGAATTCTAAATTCCCAGGAGAGGGAAACTTCATTATCCCATGTTTGATTAGGACATACTCAGGGATCAGGCACTTATGGCTGGGGGCCCCAGCATCCTGAGTCAGGAAATCTTTCTCAGGAAAGAAGGAATGCTTCATGGACTGGATAAATTCCCTAAACAGTGTTTGTATACTCCTGTCCCTTAGTTGATTGTCTGTTTGTTGACTTTAATAGTAAATTAGTTAAATTCAACTTTTTTGTTGGGGTCCTATACAAATAGGATACAATTTTTTTCAGAGAAAATGTTACAGATGTCAAACACGCAGCACATATCCTCCGTCCCCCCGTTTCTTACTCAGCAGACATTGCTGATTATTCATAACAGTTCTGCCACGTCTGGATTTGATCTCAGCATCATTCTCAACACAGTACTGTGGGCAGCCCCTGTCAATCATATTTGTCATAATAGGTGAAATCCTATTTTCTCTTCAAGGTGAATACACTTTTTAAAATCTATATATTAATATGTAGTAAACCAACTACGTGAAAGTAAGTGCTCATATGCTTGTGGTAGGTGGTATGTTACTAGGCAGGGTGGACTCCTATTTTTTAATCCTACTTTAAATTGTAACATTATAGTGTTTCTTTAGTCCTACCAATCAATTTTGAGTGAAGAGAGTTATTAGCATTCTAATATTTTCTACAAAATTATCTTAAAAAATTAGTCACTACCTCATGTTACCAAACAGTATACAGTTGTCCCTCAATATCCGTGGGGAATTGGTTTCAGAACCCCCTCATAGATGTCCAAATCTTGGGGTACTCAAGTCCCTTGTATAAAAGTATTTGCATAAAACCTATGCACATTCTTCCAAATACTTTAAGTCATTTGTAGAGGTTACTTAATACCTAAGATAATGAAGTGCTATGTAAATAGTTATACTGTATTGTTTGGGGAATAATAACAAGAAAAAAAGGTTTGTAGCTGTTAAATACAGAGGCGACCATTGTAGGCCTAACTACATAGTACATGTCAGCAACAACATAACATGCCCTCCCCCCACTCCCCTGAATATTTTTTCACAGTTGTTTGAATCTACAGATGTGGACTGTGTATTGCATTGCCATTTTTAATTGTCTTTTTATTGACTTAAAATAAACTTTTGAAGGTGTCACTCCCTTGCTATCATCTCTACTTTTATATATTTTGATTATGAACCCTATCACTTTCTATTTAAAATTTTTTAAAAATATCTTTTCTTTATTGATTTTTAGAGAGAGAGGAAAGGAAAGAGAGAGAGCTAGAAACATCAAAGAGAGAGGACATCAATTGGCCGCCTCCAGCATGCCCCCCACTGAGGATCGGGCCCACAACCTGGGCATGTGTCCTGACTGGGAATCGAACCAGTGACCTCTGGGTGCATGGGTTGATGCTCAACCACTGAGCCACCTGGCCGGCCTAAATTTATGTCTTTGTCAGCTTAGGTTGTGATCTCCTCAAGAAATGGTACTGGATCTCATGTGCCTTGCACATAGTAGATGCTCAGAGACTGTTGAATTAGTTGTCTGTGCCTACCTTAAAATGGACGATTTTTGTTAAGAATTCGAATTGGGAACAAAACAAAATCAACAAGTCTCTTAAATAAGTTATACTAACTAGTTCCTTGGGGGATTTTGAAGAGGTTTTACTTTGAATAAACTGTTAAATTGACAGGAGAATAGTATATTATGTTTTACCCGTACTTTGTTTTAAAAAATCAATTAAGTGATTTATAATTAATTAAATTTGCGGGACATTAACACAGTCTCCCATGAGCTAAGATTTTATCACATTTTCTTTGCTCTAGAAACATACCAAGAATAGAGATTCAAACTTAAGTCTTTCTTACTACCAAACAAATGTGATTTTTCTAATTTTATAAAGTTTTGTTTTAATGCTTGGTCTTCACTGAACAGTATAAATATTATATGTTTTCTTTAATTTAAAATTTAACCATAATTATTTCACTATTTAAAAACTTATTAAATCTAATTTAATAACTCTGGTTGTTGAGAAGGTCCATACAAGGTAGCAAGGTGGAGAGAAATGCTGTGCCTTTGTATTAGGACTAGTAAATGTATTTTGACTTTTCTGAGCCTACAGATGATATAGGAGTTACTTTAAGATTAACTTGGACTATCAATTGCTAGAATAATTTTTTGCCTATGATTTGTAGGAATATGTTTACTACATGGTGGTCCTGTATCATTGTAAATAGAATGAAAAATTATCTCTTTATATTGTTTTTCTCTGTTGTTATCACAAATAAAACAAAAAAAAAATCTATCCCTATTATTTTTTCTATTTCCCTTGTATTACTTGATGTCACTCTTTGTTTCATATTAAATTATTGTTTTTGTCATAATGGTGCATTGGGATTCAAAGTAACTTAAAAACTCAGGCAGTATAGCAGGAAACATTGGCTTTTGAAAGCTCTCATCTTTCTTCCTCTCTTTGAAGGTTTTAGATGGCGTGGCAAAATTAAAATGTCAAGTCTGGGGATCTCTTCAGCCCTGTAAGCAAGGAGAGTCGGCGGGTCAGTCGCAGTGTGTACCCAGGCAGGAGGGGCATTGTCTGGCCTGGGAACCCACAGCTGTTAGTCGTACTGTTGTTGTCGTTTGTCACTGCCATGTGTTTTTTGATTGAAGAAAGGCCATAGCATTATGTCTGCCACCAGAATCTTTTAGTAATGACTGAAAACTATTGACCTCCTTTCGTGTTGTTTCATTAAAGTCTTTTTCTTATGACTATAAAGTTCAGAAGTATAACATGCTCTTACTGAATAGAGGACTAAAGGGATCATTTGCGCAAAAAATTGTAAATTTTTTATGTGAAAATAAAATCAAATTTACTATAAGAACTTCTTTTATAAGCAGTCTTTTCAACTTCCAAATATATGTGCTTCATTTTTTCAAAATTTGAGCTATCACTAAATTAATGATGTTACATTTTTATTCTCAAAGACATACACTTTAATACATTATTGGATTGTTGAGTAGGATTATTTTAAAGGCATAATATCTCAGCTAACTTAAATCACGAGGTTTCTTTTTTTTTGCATCCTTGTTTTTGAAAGAAGTTTAAGATGGAGGCTTGAAATAGTTGAACTTGGATTGTGCTAGTTGATTAATGTGCTGCAACTGTTAGCAGCTCCCTGACCAAAGTCTATCTTTCCCTTTAACCTAAATGGTTCAAAGCACAACTTTTAACAACGAGAGGTTGTAGATAGACCTAAACCCATTTATTTTATTTAACTTGATAAATTACCTATTAATTAGCTCTGTAACAGTATAGAGCAGAAGATATAAATTTGTGGCTACGGTACAATAAAAAAAAGTCTAACAGTTTAAAAGTTAATAATTTAATCAACTTCATTGTTTTTACTCTTTTTTTGTTGGCTTTTTTGTTTTTACTTTTTTTTAAAGATTGTGATAATCATAGCTTACATTTTAAAACATAGTAAACAATGAAATCAAATGGAAAGTCATGTCTAAATTAATAAAATATTCAAATTGTAGAATAAATATACAGACTTCTAAATTGAGTTAGAGGTCTTTACTTCTAGTAGTTAGAGAGTCTTTACAGTTATATTAAATATTTACAGGTGAATATTGGTATTTATTGGAATCTTTCATTCATGTCCATTAAACATTTCTCCTGCATGGAACTCACACCATTCAGATTTATTTATTTTAGTTAAAGAAATTCTTTTTTTTAATGTGTAAGTCAACTTTAGCTTAGTATCTGAATTATATCAATTTTCAAATTTATTGAGTCTGAATTGGAGATTATCTCAATATTTAATAGCTTCTGGGACACATTTTATTATTTTGATTACCTCTGCATATAAGTATATTTTAGGACAGTGTGACATAGTATGGATTACTGTTTGTTTACTTTTATACCCACCTTTGTATATATTTGTTTTTGAACTTTGCATTAACTTTTAAAATACACTAGAAGAAAATAGTGAGCAGTTCTAGGAAATATGTACTGATGATCATAGGCCAGTAAATAAATTAAATTCAGTTCCACAAGTATTGGTGGAGTGTGTAAAAACTTATTAAACATATCGTGCATACAGAAGAATGTATAAATATACATACAGTTCAAAGCATAATATAAATACCAGTGGCAATCCTTCTCACCCCAGAGTTAAAAAAAAAAAGTAGAATGTTATTAGTATCATATAAGCCACCTGCTCTTTTTTCCTATTAAAAGTTACCACAATTTTGACTTTTAAAAAAATCATTCCATTGCTTTGTTTTATAATTTTGAGAGCTACTGATGTATGCTTAAATGATATATTGTTTAGTTTTGCAAAAGTAGCAAGCACAAACCTATTGTTGGAGGAAGGCTCCCAAAAGAAGATAAGTTGAGAGCATCTCTGGATTATGATCTGGCTTTTTCTAGAGTTTGCAAGAGCTTTTTCTGAGGAAGTCAGTGGGTGAAGTCATGTGTTCTGAGTCGGATGTGTCAAAGTCAAGGCATCTAGCAGTGGTGTAGCAGAGACCAGGTACTAGCCCTCTGGTGCAAAAAGGCTAATGCTGCTCTGTGTTTTCTGCTTCTGGCCCATGGTTCTCAGGAATAGGTCAAAGCAGGATGATTCTGCAGGATAATGTGTATCCTCTGCTGGTCCAGGCGGCAGGGCATGGATGGAGGGGAGAATAAGGACATTAGCAGTTTATTCCCCATTTCATGTGTCTTCAGATTAAAAACATGGTACAGTGGCAGAGGGGATCTTGGTGTTAGTAGTATGTCTTTCTCATAAGTCTCACTGCTCTAACCTGGATTGGTTGCCTCCCACATTTGATGCATAGGCATCATTCTGGAATTTTTTCTAACTTGTTCCTGGCAGTTCCTTTGGCCTCTTGTGTGTAGGCTCTGATGTTGCAATGTTGTTGTCTTTCTTGGTTTATGCTCTCATTTGGTGATGTATACATATGTATATGTTGTCTTTTATTTAAAAGGTGGCATATACTGTATATACACCTTTCTGCACTTTGTCTCTTTTCACTTGAGATATTGTAGCAATCTTTCCATCTCAGATGGGAAGCTTCCTTTTTTCTTTCTTTTTTAGCTCAACATATTAACCAATTCCTTATTGATTATCCCTTATATATTGTTCCTAGTGTTTTTGCTTTAAGGAACAATGCTATAATGAATAATGTGTATATATTATTTTGCATGTGTGTAGGTATATCTGTGTAAGTACAGAAATGAGATTGCTGGATCAAATGATATACACATTTATAATTTTGATAGATGTTACAAATTGTCCTCTAGAGGCATACTGTTTTCACTTCTGTCAGCAATAGGCCAGGTAAGGGAGTTGGTTTCCCCATAGCCTCACCAAAAGACTGTTTTGTCAAACTTCCATTTTTGCTATCTGCTAAGTAGAAAATAACTGGTATATCAGGGTAGTTTTAGTGTACATTTCTAAATGGGGCTCTGTCTTTTCATCTGTTCTTTTTTTTTTTTTGCCCATTTTTCTACTGGGTTTTGTATCTTTACAGATTTCTAAAAGCTTTTTGTGTACTAGGAGAGAATATGTTTCCAAGTTTGTTATTTATTTGTATTTTGATTTTGCTTATAATGTGGAAGCAGTTTGTTTTTTTTTTTTCATAAAGTTGTACTTCTTGTTTTTTAATCCTTGTCCAAGGATGTTTTTTCCATTGATTTTTAGAGAGTTTGGAAGGTAGGGAAGGGAGAGAGTGAGACAGAGAAAGAAACATCAGTGTGAGGGAGACACATTTGTTGGTTTCTTCCTGCATGCAGCCTGACCCGGGCCAAGGTTGTAACCTTCAACCAAGGTATGTGCCCTTGACTTAAATCAAACCCAAGACCATTTGAAGTGTGGGCTGGTGCTCTAACCACTGAACCACACTGGCCAGGGCTAAAGTTGTAAAATTTTTTGTTTTTGAATTTAACAATGTTTTTATGGCTTCTGGACTCTGAGTCATAGTTAAAAGGGCATTCCAACTCCAAGGTTATAAAAGAATTTCCCATGTTTTCTTTTAGTACTTTTAATATTTATTTTTAGATTTAACTCTTGATCACTTGAAATATATTCCATTTCATTTTTTTCCATTTAACTGTTGTACAGTGATCTAAACTGTGTAGTATGCTTTTCCCACTAAATTAATAACATCTAATAAATTACATCTTAATTATACTAATTATACTAATTTTCATATGTCCTTGGGTTTATTTCTCAACTTTCCATTCATTTTATATACCTATCTGTTTGACAGGTCAATTTGGGGTGAGGGGCAGATTGAAATATTTATAATGTTAGAGACTATCTAAGAACATAGTGTATCTTTCTAGTTAAGAAAGTGTATCATAGTGTATCTTTCAAGTTTTCTTTTGTGTCTTTCAGTAGTGTTTTAAAATGTTCTTTTATATCTTATACATTTATTAAGTTTATTCCTATTTTATCTTTTTAGTTGCTATTATAAATAGGGTATTTTCTTCCATATCTTCTAACTGGGTTTGTGTGTGTGTGTGTGTGTGTGTGTGTGTGTGTGTGTATGAAGGCTATTGACTTTGTTATTTATCTTCTTTATAACTTTAAACCTCTGAGATTTATTTTTCTATCAAATGAAATGACTAGAACTTTAATACATAATAATAGTGAATAGGAGATATCAAGGGATTGAACTTTTCTCCTACATCTATCGATATGATGGCATATATTACTATAACAATATGCATTATTAAAATAAAAGCCTCTTGGTCAAACTGTACTATAGGTTTAGTGGCATTCCTCTGTGGAATTGTTAGGGTCTGGAGCTATTTGTGAGGAGTGCTATTTAACATTCTCCCCACCCCTCAACCCCTACCCAATAAAGGCTGGAAGATTTTCTCTCTCTTTTGGGATTAATTTCCTGGAAAATTATCTACTTTTTTCCAAATGTAATTACCTGAGAGTTGAGCAGAGTGGTTTCTCATGATTACTTCAAGTATCTTTAATTTTGTTGATGGTTTCCCTTTTTTTTCTTAGTTGTGATGTTATGCTTTTCATCCTTATCTTAAGGTTAGCTAGTGGGTTTATTTGTCCCTCTATCACAGACTCACTAACTCCCTTCTTGTACTTTTGTTCAGTGTTGATATTCTTTTTCTAAACTTATAAATAGGCTGCTTAATTTATTTGTTTTTATTCTTTTCAATTGACTTAAATATTTAAAACTGAATTTTATTCTGAACAGTAGAAAGTATCATGGATTCTAATATGTAGTGTTTTTATTATTCTCTGGGAAGTCTGCAGTTTGGGTTTAGTTTCTTTTTGACATAATAATTTCTTTTTTTCAGGTTTTTTTTTTTTTCTTTATTGATTTAAGAGAAAGAGAGAAGGGAGAGGGAGAGAGGGAGACACATGGATGAGAAAGAACATCGATTGGCCACCTCCTGCATGCCCCGCACTGGGAATTGGGCCCACAACCTGGGCATGTGACCTGACCAGGAATTGAACTGGCGACCTCTTGGTGCATGGGTCGATGCTCAACCACTAAGCCACACTGGCTGGGTTGGTCATATTTTTATATAAATAAAATAATCTGTATAGAAGTTCATAGTGACCAGTTTAAAAGTTTCTCATATATTAAGGTTTTTTTCATAGACAAGAAATTTTACATGGTCTATTTGTGACTTTTTGTCCTGATTAAGGAATACATCATTTTAGGGACAGTCGGAGAGGGGAGAGAAGCAGGAGAGGGAGACAAATAGAGAAGAGGAAAGAGGGAGAAGTCTAAATGTATGAGAACAGTGAGACTGTGCTGCTTACTTTTCATAGATGGAGAAAAATATTTTAACATGAGAGACACTAAACACCTGGAACTTTGACTCAAATTCCATATTCTCCCCCAAATACGAAAATTGTTCATTCATGGAATTTTAGGACTGGAAGAAAGGACATATTTAAATTTTAAAACATTCAGTCATTTTATTTTACAGACCAGGGAACTGAGATCCAGTGTACCTTGCTGTTTGAAAGTCCTATTATTAAGATGAGGCTGGTGTTAACTGTTACTAAAACAGATTCTATTTAAAGGGACACAAAATACTGCTTTGAAAGAATAGATTCTTAATAAATTCTTATTGACTTTGTTTTGTAGAGAATACAAGCTGGCATTCTAAAAGCATTTAACAACCCAACAACTAAAACTGCTGATGATGAAACTAGAAAAAAAATTAAAGGTATGTTGACTCTCTCTCACTGTTAAAACTTTCTTCTGGAAGGAAATATTTAAAGTTTCTTTACAGGGAAAAAAGAACTGAGCATTATATGAATGAATGCTCTAAAATAGTTACCTTAAATGAAGGTATACTTACTCCAGTGGCTGCAAGATAGTCTAGTGGGTTATAAAAGAAAATGTTAGAGTTTATCCATGTGAATTTTTAAAAATAAAATTAATATCAAATATACAGATAGACACTGTTGCTCTTATAGGAAGTTCTAACGAAGACTTGAAAAGTTGTTGAACTTGGAAGTTCTCTTTTATCATATTGTATCATTTTGCAGTTGAGGTGTGCTGGGATGAGTGGATTTACATACATAATCTACTTCTAACTAGACAAACTGCTTAAGTGCTCCAAAGATTCCTGCAGGAAACCATTTATTGAAGAGAGTACTAACAGGTCAAGTATACATGTCTACTTCACTCCCCCTGTTAACTCTTCATTGGCCAAAATCTGAGGCAAAAACAATGACTAATCAAAACTGATCATAAGTATTTAAGTGTGGGTTTTTGTTGTTGTTTTTAGTTTTGGTTAATCCTCACCTGAGGATATTTTTTTTTTTTGGAGAGAGAGAGAAAGAGAGAAACATCGATGTGAGAGAGACATATCAATTGCTTGCCTCCCAGATGCGCCCTATCTGGGGGCGAGGATGGAACCTTTAACCCAGCTACATGCTCTTGATGGGGAATTGAACCCTTGACCCTTAGGTGCTTGGGCTGACGCTCTAACCACCAAGTCACACCAGATAGGGCTTAAGTGTGCGTTTACATTCCATGTTATTAGTGATTTACCATGTCCTAAATGTATATTCTGCCTTGAGATATTAACTGATGTTAATATAAAGTCATCATTTTTAGAAAACACTTAAAATATTATTTGTATTTTATTAATTATCTTTTCTAACTTCTATTTTTTTGTACTACTATGGGTACACACTACATGTCTATAATTTATAAACAGATATACATTGTGATTATATATGCCAAACTATATGCACTTAATGGTTCAAGTTTTTTTAAAATGCAGATTTTCAAGCTTGCTCTTTTGTTTTGAGACAGTGCCATCTAGAGCATATTTAGAATAACTGCCCAGGTTTTTTTCGTCTCTTTCCAGTTTTGTAATCTTTTAAAAATAAATTGTTAATCTCTTGTATAATTTTTCTTAATGACATCTTAGTTTACCATAATTTTTCCATAGTTATAATTAATAAGTGTTTATTTACATATCCAGATATGTCTGCTCTGTCATTCAGTGCTTCAAATAATGTTTTAAAATGTTTAGAAAATGCAATGTTTTAGAAGATAGAGACCCCAAAAAGATAGAAGTTTGAAGCAGGAGTGAATGGATTTGTTAACATATTTTCTCTCAGTGTTTACTATGAAAAATGTCAAACATCTATTGAAGTGGAGAGAATAGTATACAAAGCCCCATGTGTCCATGTACCCAGCAGCCCACTTACTACATTCAATTCATGGGATATTATGTTTCATCTGTTTCTTCCAACCCCAGATTATTTTGAAACAAATCATTGGAATCGTTTCCCTTGATATAGAAATATTTTTCAAACAGAATAACTCTGACATTTTTAATATAATTGAGCAGTTATGTATGTGAGTGAGTTTTTAATTGCCATGTTAATTTTTTACACTGTGCTGTGTTTACTTGTCTTCTACTACTCTGTCATTTCCATTGTTCAGGTCCAGGCATCTGTAGCCCTAAAAGCATAACCTCCTTTCCCATCCTTCTATCCCTAGGTTAGGCACGGAGGCTTTGAAGGGTCTAATGGGAGCAGTTGAGATCGAGTACGAGTTGTGGTTATTGCTCTAGTTATTTTACCTCTTAAGAGCAATTTGCTATTTCTTAGAGACTACTGTTGTTGATAGTCAACATTTTTCTCTACAGAATTGTAAAGGAGAAAGACATTATAATGTCATATAGTAAAATGCATTGTTAAATGTGGTAATGGACATCTACCTTCGATTTCTTTTGAATCAACAGAATAAAACATGTTACATTGTAAGGTTGATGGTTGCCATGTTTTTGAATTAAAAAGTATTATTTTTACAGCATATGGAAGCGAAGGTGTGAAAATGAACTTCATAGATCGGATCTTTATTGGTGAATTAACTAGCACAGTCATGTGTGAAGAATGTGCAAATGTAGGTACTTTGAAATTCACTTCAACATGGAATAGATTACAGTCAGCATTTTGATTATTTTCGTTCACTTAAGATCATCAGTAGTCAGTTTTATTTGTGACGATGACTACATAACGATTTTTGAACATCTTCTTAAAATATATGCTTCACTCCTAGAAAGTAAACATAATTTATAATTTTTGAAAATAAGTGTATTTTAGTTTTCCTCCCAAGAAGCCTGTGGAGTTCTCTTAGCTTATTTTAATATGCTTGGATGTGTTAGCTACTTGGACTGAAATAAAAGAAAGTTCTGTGACAAGAATAACTGTTATATAACTACAGGGTGGGACAAAATTAGGTTTACAGTTTGTATGGAAAGTGATACAATAATCAATAAATAATAATACAAGAATAAACTCGTGCCCTGGCTGGTTTGGCTCAGCTGTTAGAATGTCGGCCTGCGGTCTGGAGAGACCTGGGTTCGGTTCCTGCTAAGGGCACGTAGCTCGGTTGCAGTTTGTCCCCGGCCCTGGTTGGTTGTGTGGGTGGCAGCCACTCGATGTGTCCCCTTCACATCGATGTTTCTCTCTCTCTCTCTCTCTCCCCCCTCCCACTCTACCTGGACAAAATATCAAAAAAAAAAAAAAAAAAAAAGAATAAACTCGTTTTGTGTACTCACAACTGTAAACCTACTTTTGCCCAATCCGGTATGCATTGCCCTAAAATGTAATTCCAATAGAAATAATTTAATGTAGTAACATAACCTAGGCTGATCTAACACATTTGATTTAAAGTTTACTTTTATATGACCTGTCAAAGTTTTTTTTAAGTAGACTTGACTCATCTTTTCTTTTTCTTTATTGATTTGAGAGAGAGAGGAAGGAAGGGAGAGGGAGAGAGAGAGAGAGAAACATTGATGAGAGAGAACATCGATTGGCTGCCTCCTTCATGACCCTCACTGGGGATTGGGCCTACAACTTGGGCATGTGTCCTGACCGGGAATCAAACCAGTGACCTCTTGGCACATGGGTTGATGATCAACCACTGAGCTACACTGGCTGGGCGACTTGACTGATCTTTGAATTTAGTAATAATTTTTATTTGGTGGAATGCCATCTGTCCTTTAACAACAATTTAAAGATGTATACATTTGTATAAGCTTTCAGTGCCTTGATAAAGAATATTTCTGAAAGAGTATGACTTGAAGTATGATGAATTGCACTTTTGTCAGATTTTATTGTAAAAGAGAGAGTCTTTATGTACATTCTCCTGTCCTGGGTTATGGAGTATTTTTTTCTATCTCCTCTAGTCTTATTCAATCAGAATTATATATTGAATCTCCTTCTAGTCTGTGGCATTGAGGCTCAGCCTGTGTCAATGAGATATTACTTAACTTTCTAGTTTGTTCAACATAGAAGTTGATTTCTCTCTTACAAGCTAGAGAGAGAATCTTTGAAAACAGAATTACCCTAAAGGGTCTACAAAACACAGTCAAACTATCTTTTTTAATGGCTTTTACATTTCATCTATATTATGGCACTAATTTCACCAAAAATATGTTTATATGTTTAGTTAATCATTATTATTAAACATAGTTTATTTAGAAGTTACTTCAAATATTGTGATATTGACTACATTATAAAATTCAACAGGGTTGCATTTATTAAAGTTTTGGAATATCTTATTTTGATTAACAATACATGCTCCTATACCCAATTAAATTGCTATTTGTTCCAAGATCACTTTTTAACTTAAAATTTTAAGTTGCCTGGGGAGTCTGATTTCTTTAAGCCTTTACGAAACTACATTGTCTATATTAGAATTCTACCTGAAGTTCTCAATATGTTTTCTTTTTAAGATCTCCATGGTGAAGGATCCCTTTATTGATATTTCACTTCCTATAATAGAAGAAAGGGTAAGAAAAAAATAATAATTCTTTTGTGAGGGGCGTTTATTTATTCATATATTTAGATATTTTTTGAGTACATTATCAGATATGTGAGTCATTATTTTTTATATGCAATAGTTGAGTTTGTGCAGAGCAATATTAGGGTTTGTGTATGCATGCATGAAGTATGATATAGTTCTTATTCTCAAGGAATTTAAATCCTTATTCTTTATATTTTGAGGATTAATGTTAAGGATATTATATTTCAAATGAGTTAGAAATTTTAAAAAGTAGATTACATCCAGAATTTATTTCCTAAAGAAGTCTTGTGTTATGTACATGGCATCTATATAGGTTTCAAAACCTGTACTTTTGGGAAGAATTAGTAAATATAGAAGTTTACAGGAGACACATAATGGTCAGTACAGTGGCACTATTACTATAGAAAATACTCATCAACCCAGAATCACCAAAAAGCATTCTTCATCTAAAGCTAAGGTAAGATTATGTATTTGTGAGACATCTGCTTTTTATTATGAAACGTTTCAAAAATATATAGAAGTAGAGAAAATAATAGAATAAACTCTCATGTACCTATTTCTCAGCTTCATAGTTATCTGCTCATGGGCTAATCTTGTTTTATCTATATCTCACTTTCTCTCCCCTCCCCCAAGGTTATTTTGGAATAAATCTCAAATAATATCATACACTTAAATGTGTATCCCTAAAAGAGAAATACTCTTTTAAAATACACAACTATAGAACAAGTATCATACCTAAAATATTAATAACTTTGTAACAGCACCAATATCCAGTCATTTAAATTTCTGCAGTTGTCTCATAAATACTTGTTTTTTGTTTTTGCTTTTTAAAGTGCATTTGAATTCAAGATTTAAAAAAGAACTATAAAGTGTAGTTGATCGCCATGTCTCTTAAATCTCTTTTAATCTATCGATTCCCCCTCTCCCCTTTTTTTCCATTGCAATTTTTTTTTTTTTAATCCTCTCCTGAGGACATTTTTCCATTTTTTGTTCAGATAGAGTGGGAGGGAGAGAGAGGGGGAGAGAGAGAGAGAGAAACATCGATGTGAAAGGGACACATCGAGTGGCTGCCACCTGCACGACCAACCAGGGCCGGGGACAAACTGCAACCGAGGTACGTGCCCTTAGCGGGAATCGAACCCGGGTCTCTCGGGACCGCAGGCCGACACTCTAACCGCTGAGCCAAACCGGCCAGGGCTTCCATTGCAATTTATTTGTCGAAGAAATCAGGTTTTAAAGCAGTTTCTCACACTCCCACTTCAATAGTAATTCATATTGTTGTTAACGGGTGCCTCTGTCTCCTTTATTTTCTCTCTAAGGCGGTTGGATGTAGAGGCCTGATGGGATTTAGGCTTGATTATTTAATTTTTGGCAAGAAAACTTTTAAGTGGTGGTATTTGCTTCCATCAAGGAGGTGCATATCATGTTTGATGTCTCTTTCTGTGATGTCACCATTCATTGATGACTGTCGTCTCTACTCATTATTTCACTAGGGATATACCTGGCTGTTGAATTGTCTCATATGAATTTAAATAAATAAATCTGAATCTTCACTTTATTAAAAAATTGTTTTTACATGCTATTATTTGTACTTACTTGGCACATTGATATATTATCAGATTTAACTTATTCTGTAGAGTCTTTTTAAGTGCCAAAACTACAGAGATTATGCAAAGGTTACACTTGGAAAGGCTCCCTCCCAGCACTGTTCCGCAAAAGCCCTGTTCTCTGTAAACAGATAACGACTGTTGTTGGTTTCTTGTGTAAAGGTTTATGTAGATTTAGGAGATGGATTTTAGAGGTCCTAGAAATAGTATTTATTTAATAATTGTGGACTGTTTAAAGACTCACTGGCATTTATTTTCAGTAAGGTCACAAAACACTGTCAACACTTATCTCTAAAAACACTGTCAACTTACAGAATCAACTAATTCATGGCAGAAAACGTACAAAGAAATTGTCATCTGGAGAAGATAAAACTGTTGTCGTGTACCAGAAAAATGGAAATGTTGAAGTGAATGGGGACTCTTCAGTGTTTGCAGGCATCATGGATACTGACTCGACTCTGACGGAAAACCCTACCGATGGCAGCGAAAAAGAAGCCAGCCGCTCTGAAAGCAGTGTTGATGCCGACAGCGAGGCCTCGGAATCCGAAAGTGCTTCTAAGCAGACCCTGTTGCCGAGATCCAGCAGTGGCTGCTCTGTGCACACAAATGGGAATTACCATCCATCAGCAACGGAACCACCCGCCAAGGAGACTGACAGTGGTGATGAGGGAGTGACTGAAGCTATTTCTGAACTTCATTTAAGCAGCACTGTAACTGGAGATAGAGATTTTACAGGAGAAAATCAGGCACTAAGTGTTACAAATAATTTATATTTTTCAGAGGAGAAGCATGTGTCTCACAGTCCCCAAAATGCTTTTCAGACCCTTTCTCAGAGCTATATAACTACTTCTAAAGAATGTTCAGTTCAGTCCTGTCTCTACCAGTTTACATCTATGGAGTTATTAATGGGGAATAACAAGCTTCTGTGTGAGAATTGTACCGAAAAGAAACAGAAGTACCAAAGGGAAAACAGTTCTGCAGGTAAATATTTAGTGATGTTTTTAGTTTGTTTGTTTCTTTGTTTGTTTTTTGTATTCATGGATTATCTGATAATCAGTGACTAGCTGGCATTAGATCCCAAAGAGAGGAACCCAAGAACCCTGTCTCCGCGCTTCAGCTGCTTGGAGGCGGGGATTGTCTTCTTCATGTTTGTATATTTGTACCTCAGCACTGAAGACACTGACTCTGCAGGATAAATGTTCAATAGATTTTTGTTGAAATAAGTTGAAGAACAGGAAGTATCCATCTGTGCCCTGAAAATGAAAATCCACATAATCTTATTTCAGGGGACTACTATCTGAAATCTTTCCAGAAAAAATTTCCCTAAAATTTAAAATCTTGTCATAGTGAGATTAATGATGAAGTCAATATGCTTCACAAATCCCATTAATCTAGTATAAAATAATAAGAAGATATAAATTTGAAGGTTTTCAATAACTGTATATCATAAAACTAGCAACATAACTATATGTAGTTGACTAGAAAGAAATGGCAAAAAGGGACTTGTTAAGTAAGAAATTTTCAGAGCACCTCTGGCCTTGACTAAATGGAGAGAATACTCAGATTCCTAGTGACTAGTTTTTTCAAAATGTAGATTTTATGTGTATTCAGGCATGGTGAGACCAACAGATCAGGATACAGTTGCCACCAAAGATAGTTTCTTACTTACAGTTCCCAAGAAGAGGGGGCACATGGAGAGCCAGGTTGGTCAGGAGGCAGAGGCAGCCTGGGAATACTAGGGCAAGAGCCTTGATTGTGGTTTCCAAGGGAAGGAATGGGCAAGGCAGGGTAAACAGGTTTAAGATGAACTAGTTTAGGATAATTTCAGTGGGCTCTGGGCTATCGAGACTGTCTCTAGTCTGGAACTTGGTGGTGATGTGATTAGGGCAGGTGGATTACTGCTTAGATAAAGGAGGTAGGTGGGGTGTGCAATTTGGATTGGTTGGTTTGCATATGAAAGGTACACTTAATATTTACTATCTCTGGGAATTAACTCTGGCAGAGGCCCTCCTTTCAGTGTCAGCAAGGTCCCAGTTGTCACAGCATCAGAACAAAGACATGCTTAATACACTAGTAATTAAGGAAATGTCTAAATGGGAGAAGGAAGAAATACCAATTTGTATTAATTCAAGGTAAATATGCAGTTGGTCATATTCAAATCTTATCACAAGTCCTTTCTAACAACCTTTTGTTGAAATGTCCCATGGTTCCCATATAGGAACTTTCCTTTCATTGCAATAAATATTGAACCAATTTTATCAACTACAGATACGTTTCTGGTGGTCTTTGGCTGGAAGGCATTGTCTTAAGTCGCTACTAGTCCATCTCCTTTTCAGCTTCTAAAATTGTGTTACAAGTGTCACCTCACCTAGTCTTTGTTCACCAAGTATGTGCCTTTTAAAAATAATCTTTTGTTTTAGTGTTTTGGAAAGAGTAGAGGCACCCTGTAACCAGAAATCTAATGTCTTTTAAAAAAAATACAGTTTACTGAATTTGTACATAATAGAATTTGCATATAGTATATGCTTTACATACAGTAGAATTCTTTTTTTTTTAAATTTTTTATCCTCACCTGAGGACATTTTTGCATTTATCTTCAGGTAGAGGGGGAGGGAGAAAGGGAGAATGAGAGAGAGAGAGAGAGAGAGAGAGAGAGAGAGAGAGAGAAAGAAACATCAATGCGAGAGAGACACATTGAGTGGTTGCCACCCACATGACCCCAACTGGGGCCGGGGACAAACTGCAACTGAGGTATGTGCCCTTAGCGGGAACCGAACCCGGGACTCTCTGGTCCATGGGCTGACGCTCTAACCGCTGAGCCAAACCAGCCAGGGCAATAGAATTCCTTTTTTAAGTGTACAGTTTAATGAGTTTTGATAACATATACAGTCCAGGAACTATCATCAAAATATAAAACATTTCCCTTGTCCCACAATGTTTTCTTGTGCCCCTTTGCAGTTAATCTCCTCCCCCATTCCCTAGTCACTTCACTGAGTAATCTGATTCTTTTCCCTGTAGTTTTGTCTTCTCCAGGATATCATATAAATGGAATCATATAGTATATAGCCTTTTGTCTTGGTTTCTTTGCCATTTAGTGAATGGTTTGAGATTTATCCATACTGCTATATATATTAATAGTTCATTCTAATTTCCTTTTTTTTATCCTCACCTGAGGACGTTTTTTGCATTTATCTTCAGATAGAGTGCGAGGGAGAGAGGAAGGAAGAGAGAGAGAGAAACATTGATGTGAGAGAGACACATCGAGTGGTTGCCACTCACACGACCCCAACAGGGGCTGGGGACCAACTGCAACCAAGCTACGTGCCCTTAGTGGAAACCAAACCCGGGACTCCCTGGTCCTTGGGCCGATGCTCTAACCGCTAAGCCAAACTGGCCAGCATGCATTTTAATTTCTTTTTTAATATTTTCAAAAATGTGAAATAATTCTTCAATAGAAATGTTGACTGTGTTATATGGTAGATAATGTATAAACTGGAATCTTACAAATAAATGTATTATATTTTATACAGAAAAGAAGGCAGAAGGGATTTATACTAATGCCAGGAAGCAGTTGCTCATTTCTGCTGTTCCAGTTACCCTAATACTCCATCTCAAAAGATTCCATCAGGTAAGTCCCTTTAGGAGCACTGTAGTAATTTCTGTCAGATGTTTGTAGAGCCCTAAATCTTGTAAAATACTGTCAAGGATTAGGCACTAATTTATTGAATTTAAAATTTTGTCATATGGGATTTACTGCTTTTTCAGCCATAATAGTTATTTTCCTAATTAAAATTGTTTAATTCACAATGTTTGAAGATTTAGGTGGTAGGAACCCAAATGGCTTGTGTGTGTGTATGTCAATGAAAAATAAGAATTTTTAAGAACCTTTTTTTTAAAAAAAATCCCTTTGAAGTAGGGAATAGCAAAGTGTGCATAGCTCCCTGAACTCTCCTGATCCCAGTGAGCGGACTGTGAGGGCTGGATGAAGTCTGAGTGCAGAAAAGGCTGCAGGGCAGGCTCCACCCCTCTGGGACTCTACAATGAGCGAACCTAAATATTTTTAATGTATTAGGTTTTTCTCCAATTTTTAATATTTTTAATTCAATGCCTTGTCTCACTTTTTTAAAAAAAAAATGTTTTATTGATTTTTTAGAGAGAGAGGGAGGGAGAGAGATAGAAACATCAATGTGAGACAGAAACGTCGATGTGAGACAGAAACATCAATGTGAGACAGAAACATCAATTGCTGACTCCTGCATGCCCCCCACTGGGGATGGAGCCCAAAACCCAGGCATGTGCCCTGACTGGGAATTGAACTGGTTCTTCTCAGTCCATGGGACGACCCTCAATCCACTGAGCCACTCTGGTCAGGCTCACTTTTTTTTTTTGCATTTGATAAAATGATTTTAACATTTCTCTGGAAGAATGAGTAAGTGAAAATACTAAAACATTTTTGCAAAAGTTAGAAGGGATTTTCAAAATACCTGTTTTAAAATAAAACAATAATAACAAACAGTATGGTCAGAATTGTCAAATAAAACATGAGTATAATTTAGAGCTCTTTTATTATGATAATAAAGTAATCTGAAATCAGTTGGGAAGGGAGCTGTATTGTTCAGTAAAGGATTTAAGAAAGAAAAATAGCTGTTGGGGGAAATAAATGTTTATAGCTACCCTCTATACCATATAGCAATACTATCTCAGATTAATTTTTTAATACCAAAAAACAAATTATCAAAAGACTAGAGGAAAACTTAAATGAATATCAACCTGACCTCTGTATAGAAGATTTTTCTAAGTATAAAACCCATAAAAGAAATATTTCAGGTGGGGCACAGATGGGAAGGAGATTTTTCTCTATACTTTTCATCCTTATCCAAAGAAAGATTAGGTTAAGTGATTGATTTTCTATAGCCAAGGTTCTAGAAACTTAATGGAAATGAAATGGCGTGGAGAACAGATGTATCGTGTCTCACTACGTCAATGCCTAATGGAAGATGTGTATCTGAGTGACTCTGTGTGAACAAGATAAGGTCATGCCAGATCTGAGAAGCTAATTGCATGATATACCACAGTTATTTTATATTTGGTAATAGTATCTCTGTTTAGAAACAACTTACAGACAGAATTTATACCCTTAAAGGGAAATATTTACGGATATCACTGCCCCTTCTTGCTCTCAGGCTAAATGTAATGTCAGCAAATCCACATTCTCCCTTCCAGGGTCTGGGAATTATAGGGAACAGACTCTAGGCAGTGTCTCTACTTTTAGTATTTTATTGGCTCTGAAAATCTATTTCTCTGTAGTACCTTTAGAGCTGTATATGAAACATCCACAACACTGAAAGGCAAATCTTAAACAGGATAGAGAGCTCTGTAAATGATTAACATCGTAAATATGTAAATAACTCTTAAAGAACAGTAAGAAAATTATCAAGACCCTAATAGAAAAATGGTAAAGAACATGAATTGACAGTTCATAGAAGTAAAAATTCTAAGAAAGTGTCAACAAAATGGTCCATCTTCTCCATCAAAACAAATGCAAAATAAAATGACAGTGAGATTCCTTTTCTGACCTGTTCCAACTGGCCAAATATGGTTGTGTTGTTGAAGATGAAGTGAAATATAGGTACTCTTGTGTTCTAGCAATGGGAGTGTAAGTTGGTAGCACCTAGAAAACAATTTAATAGTATTGTTCAAGAATATTAAGTAATGTTTTGAATAAAACATTTTTGAAATAAAGCATTACTTTTGACTAAGTAATTCCACTTTGAAGAACCTGTTACAAGGAAATAGAGATATACACAAAAATGTATATCTCAGTCGTATATAGATCATGCCAGCTGTGAGGCCTAGCTTAACTGTTCAATATACAGAACATCATATTTATATTTTAATGACATTGGAAAAATACTTATGATATTTAATTAAAAGAAAAAATTTAAAAAGGCAAGAGATTGCATATGCCCAAATATAAGGAAAAATATTTTCCAAAAACCATCCCCTCGCAGTGGTTCTCAACCTGCCTAATGCCGAATACAGTTCCTCATGTTGTGGTAACCCCCACCATAAAATTATTTTTGTTGCTACTTCATAACTGTAATTTTGTTACTGTTATGTGTTAGGCGACCCCTGTGAAAGGGTTGTTGGACCCCCAAAGGGGTTGCAACCCACAGGTAGAGAACCGCTGCCCTAGAAAAAGAGATTCAAGATGGTCACTAGACCTTTGTGGTGATCACTTTGTAAAGTATATAAATATTGAATCACTATGTTTTACACCTCAAACTAATATAAAATTGTATGTCCATTATAAGTTTTAAAAAAGCTTAAAAGAGAAAAAAGAGATTTGTCTTTATTAAAGCCCTTTATAAAGTCTCTCCTATTATGGGTTAGTTTCTCAACAGCAAAGTACTGTCTGGGAGGACACATTAGCCTGAAAGTGTTTCAGACAGTGCTGGTATTGGATGCTTATAGAGGTCACCTGATGAGAAAAAACAAGGCAAACAAGATTAAATAATTACTCCTGGGGTGTGACCTCATAATTTCACACCCCAGTTATCATGTTAAGCCTTCTAAATATCACTTGAAGAGACAAATCAATAAGTGGGTTTAGTTTGGTCAAAAAATATGATGTTTTTCCTTTAAAGAAAGGTAAGAAATAGGCCAACAATCCACAGTAAAATTATGTCCTTAAAGTAAGTTGTGAAAGCCTTGCATGAAAAGTTGCATCTTTTAGTTTTCGTCTACCCAAATAATTCAGATCTTCTGATTCCAGTAGTTTCTATTTGTAGGTTTCCTATCCAATACCTTTGTTAGTCTATCAGCTAGTTTTTAACTATTATTAAGTAATGTTACGTGTACCTTTTTCAAGTTTTGCCTTTGGAAATTAAAAATAGAGAGAGAAGTAGAGCTTATTTAAGAACATGAAGATTTATTTTCTTTCCTGGAGGATTCAGTATAACCACAGCAGTTTTAATATTGCATGTGAAGGCAATACATGCAACATTATCAAATAGCATGATTTTATTTAACTAGCGCTTAGAAGCTCTTACAAGCTCTTAACTCATTTATTTGTATCCACTTTTAGTAATGATATGCTGTGAAAAAACATGGCATCCTATCATAGCCTTTTTAAAGGGAAGACTTTACTTATTTCTATTGGATAAAAAGAACACAGTATTCAGCCCTGCCTATGAAGGTTCATTTTGATTTATTTAATGTGTGACATTTCCTTTTATTGATAAAATGATTGGAGTATTCAAATTCAGGCTTTTTCTCTTAATGAATGAATATCATTGAATTTTAGAACTGAAAAGGATCTAATCTAATTCGTTTATGCCCATTTTCTGCCTTGATCTAGATGAGGATCTAGAGTCAAGTTAGGTGTTAGCCAGTCATTGAGTTAGGGCTAGGATACCAGGCTCCCAAACCTTCAGTTGAATAGCATTTCATGATAACATGTGTATCAGTAATTTAGCTTTATCACATTGAATTTATTTTTCCTAAGTGTTGAAAAGCCACAGTAAAAGTAATTATTCACATATTGTTTATAGTAAAAATGCACATGTAAATAAATGATATTTACAGTAACAGTTTATGAAACCTAATTTAAAACTTAGTCATATATCAATTTTGAATTATTCATCAATCATATTTTTATATCTATGAAAACACTAATTCTGGATTTCTCTTTTAGTTTTATTAACACACACAGTAATTTAAATTGAGTTTGTCACATTAATTTTTTTTTTGGTCTTTTTAGGCTGGATTGAGTCTTCGCAAAGTAAACAGACATGTAGATTTTCCACTTCTGCTTGATTTAGCACCATTCTGTTCTGCTACTTGTAAGGTATAGTATATTATTATTATTATCATTATTATTTTTCTTTTTTGGTACATGCCCCTAGCGGGAACCGAACCCGGAACTCTCTGGTCCACAGGCCGATGCTCCAACCGCTGAGCCAAATCGGCCAGGGCGGTATAGTATATTATTAAAATACTTAATTGACTTGGAAATAATATGCTTAAAGCATCCTATGATTATTATGCCATGCTTTCTTTTCTTTCTTTAAAAACAAAGCTCCTCTGAAAAAGAATTTTATAGTTAGTAAAGGTAAATCAGTAACATATGGAACATTTAACACATTGAAGTGGGAGACAGATTAAGGCAAAATCAAAAAGATGCATAAAGCATGAGACCTGGTGGTAATGAAGATTAAAGCTGCTTGTAAATGCTGCTAGAAGCAGACAGCTGCTGAGAGAAGCGAGCAGATTTTGTGCCCTTGCCTGGTCGTGGTGAATGATGTGCTTAAATGGCAGTAGTGCCAGCATTTGTGGAGTCTTTATCTTTTGCAAATCAATATACTAGTACTTTTTTTTTTTTAATTCCATTTCAGGTACACTACTGAGAATAGTGTGCTTGTTGGCTGAGTATGATACTTTAAAATTACTAAAACTTTAAAAATTAGGTATAGAAAGCAAATTGGCTTATAATTGCTTATACTTATATGTAAGAACTGTGTAGGTGAAATCAATGACTTTAAATTCCTTGAGGGAACCAAACAGTTATGGGCTAACATCTTGTTCTGTTCATGATTACTGGTCAGCAGTCTAGGTTTTGTGGTATATAAGAGAATGCTTATTGAACTTAATATTTTTAATATATTGATCAGTCAAAACAAAAATATCTTTTCTTTTTTTACAATGAGATTTATGGAAAGGCAAATCAACAAAAACAAAAATATCTTAAATGCAATTTTTGGGTGAATGCAGTTCATCCGTGGAATACTAGCACTATCAGCCAGTGATTAACACTCAGTATCCATAGAATTTGATAATGTGGTAAATAAAATGAAATTTAACCAGCTCTGTATTAAATTTATGAAAACATATTTTTTAAAATTACCTATTATGGAGAATTTCCAACATACACAAAGTAAACAGAACAGTACAATGACCTCTCGCACCTATCAGGTAGCCTTAAAACCTTAGATACATGGCTGGTCCTGCCCCATCCACATGATCATCTACCTCCTCCTCCTATATTATTTTGAAGCATCATTTCATTCATAAATATTTCACTATGTGTTTCTAAAAGATGAGATCACTGCTCCCTTTTTAACATAACCACAATATCACTTTCACACTAAAGCAAATGAACAATTTATTCATATCATCTAGTATATATATATATTTCTAATTATTTCATAAATGAAAAATCTTAAATGAATTCATATCCAATCAAGGACTACACATTATTATTGGATAATCCCTCTCCCATCTTTCTCCCCTTCTCTTCCCTCCTTGTAATTCATTGGTTGAAAAAACTAGACCATCTTTCATATAGTTCCCCATAATTTAGATTTTGATGACTGTTTCTGTGTCCTCTTTATTTACTACAAGTAGGTAGGTGGATAGTTGGGTCTGGAGAGGCTCAAACAGATTCAGGTTTGATGTTCCTTATTTTTTAATTTTGGGGGGGCAAGTCTATTTCATGGGGATTGTTTAATTGAGTGGCACAGGATGCCAGTTATCTTTCTGTGATAGTGACCTGTGATGCTCAATGTTAGATTCATGAGTTCATTAAGAATTACAGAATGGTGATATTCTAATTCTGTTATTTCTTTTTCACTTATTAGCTAGAATATTTCTATATAAAGATGTATTCCTTTCCTCTATTTAGTTATCTTATAGTTCTTACAGAAAAGACAGGGTAAATGCTCGATTCTTTTCCTACTCAGTTAAACCTACTCATTATTTTCAGAATAATGAATTCACTAGTATTCTCAAACTGATCAATTAATTTATCGTTATGAATTCATGAATTTAAACACATTAGGTATGTTTCAATTTGCTACACTTTTCTTTTTATTCATGTTTTTTAATTTTTTTAATCCTCACCCAAGGACATTTTTTGATATTTTGTTCAGATAGAGTGGGAGGGGGAGAGAGAGAAACATCGACGTGAAAGGGACACATTGAGTGGTTGCCACCCACGCGACCCAACCAGGGCCAGGGACAAACTGCAACCGAGGTATGTGTCCTTAGGTATGTGGAACCGAACCTGGGTCTCTCCAGACTGCAGGCCACCACTCTAACCGCTGAGCCAAACCAGCCAGGGCTATTCATGTTTTAATATATTTATCTAATGTGTCTATATTATTGGCTACTGAAAGCCACTTCAAATTGGCTCCTGGGTTTTTTTTGACATGATCCTAGCAGTTCCTCTCTAAATAATTATGCTATCGACTGGATACATTCTTCACTTGCTTAATTTTTAAATTTTGATTTTTAGGGACTGTTTTTCACATTTAAATTTTTCAAATTTAAAAAATTTACACAGTTCCAAAGTCAAACATATCAAATGTACAAAGCAAATTTAAACAGTGTAGCTGTTCATTCCACCTGTTTCTTCCCTCCCTTTATAGGTAAACAGTGTTTTAAAATTATGGTTTATTCTTCTAGTTTTTAAAAAATATAAGCAGCCCTGGCCGGTTTGGCTCAGCGGTTAGAGTGTCGGCCTGCGGTCCCGAGAGACCTGGGTTCGGTTCCCGCTAAGGGCGCGTACCTCGGTTGCAGTTTGTCCCCGGTCCTGGTCGGTTGTGCGTGTGGCAGCCACTCGATGTGTCCCTTCACATCGATGTTTCTCTCTCTCTCTCTCTCTGTTCCTCTCTCTCCCTCCCACTCTACCTGAACAAAAAATGGAAAAATGTCCTCGGGTGAGGATAAAAAAAAAATAAAAAATAAAAAATATAAGCAGATAGGTATGTATATATGGATTTCTCATCTTAAGTAATCATAACTTACAATATGTAACCTTTTTTCTACCTATTTTTCCATTATATACTGGAGATTATTTCAAAGCAGTATTTAGAAATAGTCTACACTCCATTTTTCAAGCAGCATAATACTCTCTTGTAAGGATGCATCATAGTTTATTCACCCAGACTTCCAATTTATGGACATTTGAGCCTATTCCAATTTTTTTATAATATAAATAATTATGTAATTAGTAGTGAGGTGCATCTCTTTTTACATTTTGCTTATGTGCCTGTGAGGTGGAATCCTAGAAATAGGATTGATAAATCCAAGAGTGATACATACGTAATTTAGCTTGATAACATTGACTATTCCCACACTGGGACTGTGCCCCTTTGCATCCCATGTAGAGTGTGTGAGCACTCTTGCCCCACAGCCCATCCAACAGAGGGCGTTGTGGAGCATTTGCATTTTCCAGTCTAATGTGTGTAAAAGTATCTGTGTATTTTTACTATGCTATGTTCCTTACAGGAATATTTCACTAAATATTACTTTTTTTTTTTTTGTCTGAAGAATGTAAGTGTGGGAGAGAAAGTTCTCTATGGTCTGTATGGCGTAGTGGAACATAGTGGCTCAATGCGAGGAGGTCACTACACTGCATATGTGAAAGTGAGAACACCCTCGAGGGAATTATTGGAACATGTCACTGGAAAGAAAAGTGTACCTGGTATGTTATCCTAAGTTTATTTTATTCTTAAAAACAAATTAATTTGATTCTTCCTTTTCTGGAAGAGGTAAGTTATTTCATGGATGACTCTAGTGGATTCACTTTGTTAATGTTAAGTTAAAAATACATTTAAGAGTTCTAGATAATCTTAAAGAATCTTAAATATCATAAGACTGTCCTCAGTGATGTGAAGTGACAAAGTTTTTTTTTCTTTATTGATTTTTAGAGAGAGAGGGACAGAGAAAGACAGAAACATCGATGAGAGAAAATATTGATTGGCTGCCTCCTGCATGCCCCCCACTGGGGATTTGGCTCACAACCAGGACTTGAACTGGCAACCTTTTGGTGCAGGGCTTGATGCTCAACCACTGAGCCACACTGGCCGGGCGGGACATAGTTTTTCAAGGTGTTAAGTCATCCTGTATTGCAGTGGAGTGACATTTATTTATTTATTTATTCAATCCTCACCTGAGTATATTTTTCCATTGATTTTTAGACAGAGTGGGAGGGACGGGGGAGGAGAGCAAGAGAGAGAGAGAGAAACATCCAAGTGAGAGAGACACATCAACTGGTTGCCTCCTGCATGACCCCAAATAGGCCCGGGATCAAACTGCAACTGAGGTATGTGCCCTTTAACTGGAATCAAACCTGTGACTCTTTGGTCTTTGGGCTGACGTTCTAACTGCTGAGCCAAACTGGCCAGGGCGAGTAGCATTTTATTAAGCAATACCACAAGTTTTTGAAGATGAAGACATATCAGGTCCTCAGAATAGGAGTTGAAAATTTGCTAATTTTACTTATGCACCAGCAAACTAACTTTGTTTTTGTTAGTTTGTTCTCTATAAGTGAAAATGATTTTCCTGAAGCAGTACATATTTACAAGGCTATCTAATACTTCACTAGATTTTTAAAGTAAAATGATAGTAATATAAATGCTTGAAATAGTTCATTCAGGAAGAAACAGACTTATACAAAAAGTTCTAACATTAAATAAATATAGTTTGTGATGAACATGTTGTTGCTTATAATGTAAAGAAAAAACATACTTATAAAATTACACTTCTTTTTGTTTTGTTAGGTTTGAAAGAACCTGATAGTGAATCGGCAGGCCAGTGGGTCCATGTTAGTGACACTTACGTGCAGGAGGTTCCAGAATCAAGAGCACTTAGTGCACAAGCATACCTTCTTTTTTATGAAAGAATATTTTAATCATTTGTTAATTATAAAGGATAATGATTATTTAGATCGCTTTTATTTAAATGCTGCAGTGGTAACCATAATATGCAATGTGCCTTTGTAGTCTATTCTCTTCTGTAGGAATAGCATGTCCCTCAAATGCTCCTAAACATATTTACCATTTTGGTGAATCCTTTTAAAGTAAATTAAATTTAGTCATTGCTTTTAAATTTATATTTTTAAAATAAATGTAAACACATGTTTAAAAAAAAAAATGTCCTGGAACAAAACTAGAATTTATAGCCGTACAGGAAACTTCTTTATGATGTGGGTTATTATTACAAATATCCAGAAATGATGCTGGCTAAATCAGATCCTTCCTTAAAACAGTGTTACCCAGCCCGGCCTAGTGGTTCGGTTGGTTGGAGCATCGTCCTGTACACCAAAAGGTTGCGGGTGTGATTTCCCGGTCAGAGCACATACCTGGGTTGAGGGTTTGATCCCTGGTTGGGGGTTGTACCTATAGCAACTGATTATTTCTCTTTCTCTCCCTTCCTTTCTCTCTAAAATCAATTTTAAAACATATTAAAAATAAAACAAAAAACAGTATCATCCAAATGTGAGCCACATACCACCTTTCTGATATATATGTATCTCCCATGCCATTATTTATTTATAATTTCTAACCTTATTTTGTAGTCTTTTTAAATGGTAGCCCTGTTTTGAGCATATTCAACATTTTATGTGCTAGTTGTGTTTTATCTAATAAACCTTAAAATAAATATATAACTACTAAAGAAGAATTGTTCATTCATGTAAAATCATCTCAGGATTATCCAGCGCTATATGTATGCTGCTGTGTGGGAAACAACATAGTTGGCATAGTGACCTTGTCATATTCTGTATGATTCAACCATTTAAAAAGGTATGACTAACTTCAGTCATATGGATTTACAAATAATATACTGATTAGCTTGTTGCTTTGCAGTTTTGAGAACTAGAAAAATATTGAAATATTTCATCAACATATTATTTGTAACCTATTCATGGTGGAGTTGAGGAAAATTTGCGAGTGATTAGCCAAGGTCAAAATATAATTGTTACATGCAGAATTGATCAACAGAAGTTGTTAATCCGTATGAGACCATAGGATAACTTAGAAATATAAATTACTGAATTAAATTTGTAAATGATAGAGAATTATATTCTTATTACATGTAACAAGGTAGTATAATACATTTTTTAGTTCTGTAGATCAGTAAATAATAATCATGATATTAGAGTTTTGCGATCACTTTGTATTCAGCAAGCATCAATAAGTTCAAGTACAGCTTTTATATTAATGGGGCATGAGTTGGCATTTCTGATTTTGTTTTAAAATAATTAAATAATAGCAAAGATATAATTTTTCCCTTAGAATACAAATTATTAAGCTGTCTAAACTTGGCATGAAAATATTACTATTGCTTGGGCTTAAATTTTAAAAAATAATCACTATTTTGGTGTCACTTGGTTGAAGCAAAATAGTAATTGCATGCTTCAAGTATCCTACGCATTAGTGTCGACAAATGATACTACAGGCAAGTGCTGGATAAGTGCCTACTCCCAGTTAGTTCTCCTCTTGGGAAGGAAGTATAAGAATAGTGGCTGGAGATAGTTGTGGAACTATCTAACCAAGACCCTGGTTCTTTTTAACATGTAAGTATATAGAACATATCAAGGTTACCAGTGCTGCCTTTTGATACATGGATAAATAGAATTGTGATTATTGTCAAAGATGGTGATAACATACACCATGCAGAACTTAAAAATGTCATGGCACAAATTCTATTTTTAAGGTGTTGTAAATTCAATAGTAGTATTTATCTTTAACAGTAATATGATGGAGAAATATATCTTTATATTATATGTTAATCTACAAACTCAGGTTGTCTTATTAAAGGTAGTTTAAACAGTGTTTAATTAATATTTCTGTTTAATGTCATCCATTAACAATGAAGATTTCAGTACCAGAACAGTGAATTTTTTTGAGACATACTAGTTAAATCTCTTTATTCAAGTTAGCCATCTTGGTAATGACAATAATCATTCACCCCCCCTCCCCAAATGTAAATATTGTTACCTTATTTTTCTCCTAGAAAAGATACTATTAAGAAGCATGTACTTCATTGGATGGTTACCTGCTTCTTATATTATTGATAGACTAAAGAAAGAGGGAGGGAAGGAAGGAAGGAAGGAAGGAAGGAAGGAAGGAAGGAAGGAAGGAAGGGAGGGAGGGAGGGAGGGAGGGAGGGAGGGAGGGAGGGAGGGAGGGAGGGAGGGAAGGGAAGGGAAGAGAAGGGAGGAAACATTCTTTTCTGTTGCCTTTTGGCTTATCCCTTACACAGCTCAACTCAGAGATGGTGAGTGATAGGTAAGGGCCAGAATCAAGGAAAGTGCCTAGTTCCTCTTTTTGTTGATAGGATGCAGGGAAATGCATCAATGCTCTATTTATCAAATAGGAGATATTTTAAGCTTTATTCTGAATACCAGTGAAAATTGATTTTTCATTGAGTGATACATTGTAGCTTCAGAACATTACTTCGGTACTGAAGTACTGCAGTAGTTTTTATGCTTAACTACACATTTATTCATTATATATATATATATTTATTGAACACCTGTTATGGGTCAGGCACTATGCTGACACTATTTTAACATGTTTTAAAATGGAGAGGCCTATGTAAGTTTTAGACATTATTCCATAAGTAACATACAAATAGAATACTTTTATTTCCATTTCTGTAATGTTAAATGAGCTAATTCTAAAATCCATTTTTTATGGCCTACAATTTATGAATGCTTTCCCATTTCTGTTGATAGTAGAATAAATTTCATTTTGAAAACTAAGAATTTTCAAATGATAGCTTTTGTAAATAGAGAAAGTATGTTAAGTTACACATGGGTTTGCATTTAAATTTTTTTTGTTTTGAATATTTCCAAAGCACATTTGCAGGGGTGCAAAATTGTGAAGCTACTATAATAACAATAGTTTCCAGATGACCTCAGGAAACAGTACAAATAACTGAGAATGTTTACAGATCCTCAAAACACCAACATAGTGTTTGGCCAAATGAATTTAAAAAGCAAAACAGATAAGTTTTACTGACTTTATTTACAAGGTATGTCTAATCCCAGTTTCCCCTATTTTTCCCATATTTAAAATAAAATATTGATTGTGCCAATTAAGTGAATATTTTTGACATAACCATGAATGTATATGTTTACATTAACGATTTTGTCATTTAATATTTTTAAGTCTTATGTGAAGACCACCTTTCTAGGTGGCCAGGGAGAGTGGTAATTGGTGTCAGTTCTAAGAGAGTTAGTTGATACCTGTTTTTCTATTTTAAATGTGCCAACAGAGCTATTTTGCAATATAATATTTAATAGCTCTTAGCTCGCATGTGATTATACTCAGTGATTTTATACGATAGCTAAATAAAATTTCTTGAATATTAAGCTGTGAAATGTATCACTCTCATCTAATTTTTGTAGTATAAATATCCTGCCTACTTTTCTTAAATTCATATTCATAACTTAGCATGTTACATGATAAATAAGCCTAAACCAAATGTTATGTGCAATGAAATTAATCATTTATATATTATATATAATGCATAAAGAAAGACTATTTTTAGATATTTAAAAAGTTTTGGTTGATATAAAATTCATCAATTCAAATCTGTTTCAAAATAGATACTATATTTTTAATTTTGAGTATTATTGGGTAACATATCATTCCTACAGTTTTATCTTTACTTTTTTTTGCTGTGTTTTTAGAAAATAGTTATGTAACTTATTATTATTTTGATGTTCCTGTATAAACATGCATAATAAATATTAAATTCTTATTTACTTTATGTTTCAAGATTGGTCCTGGAGTTATTTTCAGTGCACATTATCGATAGAATATTTTATCCATCAACATTATGTTTACTTAGCTACATTCAGAATGTACTTTAGAAATTCATTGTTTCAGAATAAAATATCTTAATGGGCCACTTTTACTCAGATTTCAGTATCTACCAGGGGTAGGTGTTCATCCTTTCAGATGTTTCTCAAAATGTTTGAGTTATTTAGGCAGGATGATTCATTAGGTAACATTTTGTTTAACTGTTTGTGTTTAACCTTTTTGGGATCATGTAGCTCTGTGAGATTATGATGAAAGTTATAGCCCATCTTTCATTTGTTCAATAATTCAGTATTTATTGAACACCTGCTGTGTGGTAGGCATTGGGGATACAGCACTGAACACAGGAAATAGAAATCTCCAAGAAGTGAGGAGTAAGGAAAAGATACATAAAATGGCAAATGACATGGAGAAAAATCAAGCAACATTATCCACAGAACCATATGAGAATGAAGGTCCTGCTAGTCCCAAAGGGAAACTGTGAGTGTTGGGGGAAGAGGAAGGTTTTAATGTTGGGGCCCTCTCATGCTAATGGCAGTATAGAAGATGGGAAGGAAAATTCTCAGAAAAATGTATGCACCAAATTTTTGTATGTAATTTTAGAAGTTCATGAATCCCATGAAGACCATTTTCATACATTTTTTTAAAAGTTGCACTCAAGCAGAAATGGCCAAAATGTTTGCATTTCCATTTGTATATAGATAGCCTGGTTATGCAACAGTAGCAAATAACTCTACATTCCAGTGGCTTAACACAACGAAGGTTTATTTCTCACCCAGAGTCCACTGTGAGTCTTGGCAATCTGTAAAGGCAACTATTTTCCAACTGGTGACTATGTAATCTGGGCTGATGGCCTTGTGACTCTCATTTCCCCACTATGGCAGGGAAAGTGAGCATTAAAGTCTTGCACCAGCAATTCTTCATCTTGGCTGTATCACTCACAACCCATTGGCCAAAAGTAGTCACATCAGAAGTAGTCACATGTCCCTGCCTAATTGCAAGTAGGAATGGGTAGGATGGGTAGCAAAGAGTAAGTCTCCCATGGATTCAGGGAAAAAAAAAAAAAGGGATGTGTGAACACACCAGAAGTCTCACACGAGCCCTCCTCTAGTCACTACATACTCAGCTCATTCTTCTTTCTACACATGGAACACAGTGACTTCCTTTTCATGGAATACAGCCCCAAAGTCCCATCCAGGCAGTTTTATTTTCTAAGACCAGGCTCCTGAGGAGTGCTACATCTGGATGTTGCTCCCATTGGTCTGGAGACTCAGGAACCAAAAGGTATGTTCCATACACTTTCTGTG